CCCCCCCTCCCCGCCCCCCGTTGCTGCCTCCTACATAGGCTGTGGGGGAGGAGGGAGGCAGGAGCTGGTGCTGGTGGGAGCCAGCTTAAAATCCGGTTCCCCCAGCACCAGCTCTGTGGAGCCTCTTCTCCCCTCATCCCCTCTCTGGGGCAGCAGTGCGGAGGGAGGGGGGCAGGGGACGCTGCTGTGAAACTCGGATCCCCCACAGAGAAGGGCAGCTGCCACCCCACACTACAGCCTCTGTAGGGGCAATGTTTGGGCACCCATCCATCATGGGTCCTCTCACCTGGTGGCTTTGAGCCCCTGGCATTACGGGGTGCTGCGGCAGCGAGTGCCATCCAGTCGGCAAGAGACGGGAAGGGGGGTGACATGCAACACCTGGAAGCTGGACTCCTGCCCAGTCCCCTCAGTCCCTGCACCTTCCCCGTTGGCTCTCCCTGTGGGGGCTGTGCCTGGGGATGGACAAGCAGGAGGCCGGAGCTAACGGTCCCCAGGGCACTCTGGGATAGCGGTTTGGCGCTGGGAGGGTGCTGAGCACCTTTGCCTGCCGGGGGAACTGGGCGAACGCCACCTGCCTCAGGCGGGGGTCGTGCGTCGTTAATGGAACGCTTCCCTGGGGCTGGACGGGGATGGAGGCGCTGCTGGATACAGGCACCTGTGGCTCCCCTGCAGAGTGCCCTCGTCTTCGGGCTCGGAGCCCAAACGTCCTGCGGAGCCGCACCCGACGGGACAGCGTCACTCCCCGTGTCCGCGCTGGGATTCCCTGGGCCTGCCATGCCTCCCTGGGTGCCCGCCCCCCTGGTGATCTGTGGGTGCGAGAGCTCAGTGGGGCTGAAAGGCTGGGATGCTCAGTCTCCAGACGGCTCGGTGGCAGTGACCTCTCCTCTCTAGCCCAGCAGCTGCCTGCACCGCACAACCTGGGGGCTGCTCTCGGAGAGGGTGAAGTGTTAGATTTTTGCTGCCATGGTGCTACGCTTGTGTAAGTGTTCCCCCTCCCCGTGGCAAAGGGCTGCCTTTGGTCCTCGCCCACCAGCCAAGGCCAGGATCGCACGGAGCCGGGCACCGCACATACACGCAGGCGGGGAGAGGTCAGTGGCTCAGGGCAGGCGTTCAAAATCAAGGAGGCAAAGGGGTGGGAGAAGAAACAGGCAGCGGGCTGCTTCATTGTCCTTCTGCGGAGGGGTTAGGATGCTTTAAGGAGGGCGCTATTCCCCGTGGAAAGGGAACCAGATAAAAGGCCCCTGCATGGTTAGTGCCAAGCACCAGTGGAACAGTCTAGATACAAAAATCAACCAAAAAAAAAAAAAAAAAAAGGATGTGAGTTGATTGAACGGGAAAGTGAGCTATAGACACCCACATGTGTGTCCATGTCATGTGTAGGGCTATTCAAATGTATTTCTAACTAGAAGGCTTACCCAACATTGCCTGGCTGGTGGGGGGAGGGCAGGAGTCAGGGCAGGGCCTTGGGGGCGTGGGGGGCTCAGGGAAGGCGGGCGAGGGCATGAGAGTGGGGCAGAGGGTTGGGAAAACGGGGCTCAGAGCAAGGAGTGGGGGGCTTCTGGCTTCTCCCTGGGGACAGCCCAAGGAAGTGGGGACCACACCCCCTGCCCACTGGCTTGTCCCTGGGAGCTGAGGGGGGCTCCCTCCCTACTGGCCTGGTCCAGAGTGGGGGGCAACAGGGACTTTCTCCCTCCCCTTGGCCCTTTTTGGGGGGGTGGCAGGGTCTGTCTCTCGGGCAGGGGGCCTCACCCAGGCTGGTGGCAGGCAAGATGATGGAGCTCCAGCATTGCTAGCCACTCCCTTGTGGTATGCCTGCCACTGAGTATTGTGTCCCTCCGAACAACCAAACCTTTCCCTTTGCATGTTACGGAAAACAGTCCCGTTCTTGGCATTGCTGGTTTTCCTGGTACTACTAAACCTGACCTTGCTTTACGTTAGGAGAAGAGGAAGCTGCATCCCAAATTTGGTGGTCCTAACGCTTTCTGCTTTGGAGTTCTCGAACAGACTCCCAGACACAGGCAGACTCCCATATGGACAGATGCACAAATCTCTAAAATATCTACAGAGATTGTAAATGGAAACCATGCCTGAACTAAAATCAGAAGCTTGAGTTTTCCTCCCCAGTCTCTGTCAGTCTGTGGAAGATTTTATTTGTTTCATTTCTGTAGCCTGAGCGCTATTGACTCTGAGAGAAAAAAGGTAGCCCTCGTGGCAAGCTTTGCCTAGTGAATCTCTGGCTGTTGCAAAGAAAATGTGGAGCAAGTCTGACTTGCGCAGCATTGCCTGCCTGAGTTTGCAGAGAGCCTGAAACAAGAGGCGACCCTATGAACATGAATGGGGGCTGGTAGTGATACCTTTAATGACAAAATTGGCAACTGTTTCACTGCTCATTGAAGTGTGCTGGAAAGGAAGAAGGCTCATAACGTACTCCAGATTTTCAGACTTCGTTTATTTTTTGTGTCTTTGTGTGGGGGGGGGGGGGGGAGGCAGTGTGAGTGTGCACTCACTCTGGGTGTGCACACAGAAGATGAATAAAGCCCCATGTTGCACCCTAACTTCAAACCATCTTTCCTCTCTACCATGTTCATTCTTCGGCTCATGGGCTCATCTAGACCACATCCTTCTTTCAAAAGAGGGATGTAAATGAGCCCAATCGGAAGTGCAAACGAAGCACGGATTTAAATATCCTGCGCTTCATTTGCATATTCACGTCCGATCGCAGTTTCGAAAAAGGGTATTTTGAAAGTGAAATCACAGGGTGTGTCTAGACTACAAAACTCTTTCAACAGAGGGATGTAAATTAGACACTTGAAAATTGCAAAGGAAGCCGGGTTTTGAGTTTCCTGCACTTCATTTGCATAATTGCGTCATAGCGCTCTTTTGAAAAAGTGCTATTTTGAAAGTGAAACTGCAGTCCAGACACGGTTCTTTCAGGGGAAAAAAAAACCTTTTTTCGAAAGATCCCGTACTCCCACGTCTAGACTGCACTTTCATTTTCGAAATACCCTTTTTCGAAACTGATCGGCTGCGAATATGCAAATGAAGTGCGGGATATTTAAATCTATGCTTCATTTGCACTTTTGTTCGGGCTCATTTACATCTCTCTTTCGAAAGAGGGATGTAGTCTAGACGAGTCGGGCTTTATGCTTTTTCCCCTGCAAAGACTTCCTCCTGATTCTTTTGTCCTTTTCCCGGCCTGGAGGAAAGCTATCGTTCTAGAAGATGCGCCTGGCCATTTTCACTGGCAGTTTATGAAACTTTGGCCTCTGTCTGTCACTCTGCCTCTTGAGGGCTTGCTAGGTTCCCGGGAAATCCGGTTCAATCCCACAGAGCTCTGACTTCGGCTGCTCTTTGCTGTGGAAAGAGGTGGTGCTGCGGATTCTGTCCTCTGGAGCGTGGTCTCTGGGGACTCGTGTGTTGTTCATCTTTCCCAGCGCGAGCACTTGTTTGAAGAGGGTTGGTAAAATGGAAGACGGTGTCTAACGGCAAATTGACCTTGTGCCGAGGCTGTCCGCTTGGTGTGCGGATCGTGTGGCTGACAGCACTGGGGGATAATCGCAGCGGGGCAGAATTCGCCAGAAATGAGCATTAGTGGCACACGGAATATTGATGTATTCCACGAGGGCTCTGGCTTGTCTCCCCCTGTCAACATCTTGTTCCCGGCTGTTAAGCGGAACTGATGGAGAATGGCCCCACTCCCAAAGTTTGCATGTCATCATCGGACGTATCAGGTAAGATTTATCTCACAATTTCTTTGCTTGCCCGCTCCACGCCCATTTTTAGCCGGCCCTCTGCCCAAAAAGTGCTCTCGAGGCTTTGCCCGAGGGGTGTGCCCCCGGCCTTCATTCTTCCTTGGCTCTCCCTTCTCTGGGTCTGCTTCTTTCCTACACACCAGCACCTGCTCCCTTCTCCAAATACCCCCGAGGCCCTCCTGCCTACGTGGTTCTAATTTCTGAATCTCCCATCGTCTCTTCGCCTAAACGAAGGGCAGTGGCGACATCGTTGTTCCAATGAGGCTTAGCCCAAACGATCGCAATATTTGAGCCCCTTTTCCAGGGAAAACACTTAACCAATAGTCCTGCAGCACCTTAGAGAGTAACAAAACATGTAACTGGTATCATGAGCTTTTGTGGGCACAGCCCACTTCCCAGGAAAGCTCACGAGACCACTTACATGTTTTGTTAGTCTCTAAGGTGCTGCAGGACTATTGGTTGTTTAGGTGTTTTCAGTTACAGACTAACACGGCTCCCCCTCTGAAACTTTTCCAGTGAATTAGAGTGGGAGGCAGGGGTGCCGGGTAAGGGTCCACAGTGCCGCAGCTGGGACAGGGTGCACGCCGTGGGTTGAGTTTGCTAGTTCTCCAGAGGGGGTGTTGAAAGAGGCTGCAGCTCACCACCACCAGAAGCAGCAGCAGCTGCTGCCTCCAACAAGAGACTCAGGCCCATGGTTTTCCTAGGGGAGCCCCAGCGCTTTGCTGGGTATGGTTGTTATTGCTGGGGCCTTTAACTCCCTGGCTTTGCCCCTCCACCTGCAACTGTGTTAGATAATTAACTTGGGTGCTGCAGAAAATCAGGCTGGTCATTTGGTGTGGTTGGTGCTAATACAAAGGGAAAATTTCACCACCCGCTGGTTGAAGGGATCACCCTGGGGCCTGCCCACCCCAACCTAAGAGGTGGATTTTCAGAAGCTCACAGCTTCCACTGAGGCCGCTAGCTGAACTGGCTGGATTTCCAGTGTGCTCCACGCCCGCCAGCTGCCCCTGCAAACAAGGGGCACGGACCCAGCTCCGGGGGAGCCAGTGGCTCATCCCTGTAAGTGACAGGAGCTCTGGGGCAAGCCCTAGACTCATGGGCCCTGTGCAGGCGGCCTGGCTCACGGCCTCGCTGGGAGATGGGAGCAGCAGGGGCTGAGACAGGCCAGAGGGAAGGGGAGGAGGTGGAACAAGCCCCTGGGCACCCCAGAGTGTGGAGATCTGGGTAAAGCTCCTGCAGCACCATTGACATCCCCAGGTCTGGCTTCAACCCATTGTACCCAACGGGGTCCCAACGAGCAATAAGCGGGGGAGGGGTGGCTTTCCTTGCCGCTTCCTCTGGAGCATGGGGCGTTGCTCAGGGCCCTTGGGGTGCCCTGCTTGTGACTGTGCATGCCACGTTTGCAAGGGGGTGCCCTCCCCCTCCAGGCTGCTGTCTGAGGACATGGCACCAACCGGCCTAACACAAGGCAGCCGGGCTGGGCCCAGCCGCTCTGCAGCCCCCCACTTGCCCCCAGCAGCTGCATCCTCCCTGCAGCTGGGCTCTAAGGGCGCCCGAGGGGTTGTGACGCTCACGGGGTCAATAGCAGCCCCCGAGGGCCCCCAGCTGCAGACAGTGCCCCAAGGCACTGATCAGAGTCCGATCGCAGCTCCCGGCTCCCCACTGCCTGTGGCCGGCCCCCCTGCTCAGAACGTCTCTGTGCCAGGCCAGGAGAAAAGGGGCTGAGGGCTCCTGGGAGCAGGACTTGTCTTTTCTGCCAGGGGGTCTGATTGGGGGCGTGTGAGCACAGGGCTCTGATGTGTCACACACACTGTGACTTGTTTTCATTCACCAACACAGACGTACCTTCACACACCTATACATGACACATCCACAACACACACTCTCACCCCAACACACACACTTCAACGCCCCCCACCCCCTCCAACATCCACACGCTACAACACACACCAACACACATATCTCAACACACACACACTCACCCCAGCACACACACTTCAACACCCCCCCCCACACACACACATCAACATGCACATGCTCCAATACATGCCAACATACACACACACTCACACCAACACACACTCCACCATCCCCACAACACACCCACCTCGCCACAGCACATACACATGAGCACACACCCCAACCTACACATCCACACGCACCAACATACACACACACTCACCCCAACACACACACTTCAACACCCCCCGCACACCCCAACATCCACACAACACACACATCAACATTCACACGCTCCAACACATGCCAACATACACACACACACACACACACTCACACCAACACACACTCCACCATCCCCACAACACACCCACCTCGCCACAGCACATACACATGAGCACACACCCCAACCTACACATCCACACGCACCAACATACACACACACTCACCCCAACACACACACTTCAACACCCCCCGCACACCCCAACATCCACACAACACACACATCAACATTCACACGCTCCAACACATGCCAACATACACACACACACACACACACTCACACCAACACACACTCCACCATCCCCACAACACACCCACCTCGCCACAGCACATACACATGAGCACACACCCCAACCTACACATCCACACGCACCAACATACACACACACTCACCCCAACACACACACTTCAACACCCCCCGCACACCCCAACATCCACACAACACACACATCAACATTCACACGCTCCAACACATGCCAACATACACACACACACACACACACTCACACCAACACACACTCCACCATCCCCACAACACACCCACCTCGCCACAGCACATACACATGAGCACACACCCCAACCTACACATCCACACGCACCAACATACACACACACTCACCCCAACACACACACTTCAACACCCCCCGCACACCCCAACATCCACACAACACACACATCAACATTCACACGCTCCAACACATGCCAACATACACACACACACACACACACTCACACCAACACACACTCCACCATCCCCACAACACACCCACCTCGCCACAGCACATACACATGAGCACACACCCCAACCTACACATCCACACGCACCAACATACACACACACTCACCCCAACACACACACTTCAACACCCCCCGCACACCCCAACATCCACACAACACACACATCAACATTCACACGCTCCAACACATGCCAACATACACACACACACACACACACTCACACCAACACACACTCCACCATCCCCACAACACACCCACCTCGCCACAGCACATACACATGAGCACACACCCCAACCTACACATCCACACGCACCAACATACACACACACTCACCCCAACACACACACTTCAACACCCCCCGCACACCCCAACATCCACACAACACACACATCAACATTCACACGCTCCAACACATGCCAACATACACACACACACACACACACTCACACCAACACACACTCCACCATCCCCACAACACACCCACCTCGCCACAGCACATACACATGAGCACACACCCCAACCTACACATCCACACGCACCAACATACACACACACTCACCCCAACACACACACTTCAACACCCCCCGCACACCCCAACATCCACACAACACACACATCAACATTCACACGCTCCAACACATGCCAACATACACACACACACACACACACTCACACCAACACACACTCCACCATCCCCACAACACACCCACCTCGCCACAGCACATACACATGAGCACACACCCCAACCTACACATCCACACGCACCAACATACACACACACTCACCCCAACACACACACTTCAACACCCCCCGCACACCCCAACATCCACACAACACACACATCAACATTCACACGCTCCAACACATGCCAACATACACACACACACACACACACTCACACCAACACACACTCCACCATCCCCACAACACACCCACCTCGCCACAGCACATACACATGAGCACACACCCCAACCTACACATCCACACGCACCAACATACACACACACTCACCCCAACACACACACTTCAACACCCCCCGCACACCCCAACATCCACACAACACACACATCAACATTCACACGCTCCAACACATGCCAACATACACACACACACACACACACTCACACCAACACACACTCCACCATCCCCACAACACACCCACCTCGCCACAGCACATACACATGAGCACACACCCCAACCTACACATCCACACGCACCAACATACACACACACTCACCCCAACACACACACTTCAACACCCCCCGCACACCCCAACATCCACACAACACACACATCAACATTCACACGCTCCAACACATGCCAACATACACACACACACACACACACTCACACCAACACACACTCCACCATCCCCACAACACACCCACCTCGCCACAGCACATACACATGAGCACACACCCCAACCTACACATCCACACGCACCAACATACACACACACTCACCCCAACACACACACTTCAACACCCCCCGCACACCCCAACATCCACACAACACACACATCAACATTCACACGCTCCCACCCCACCCCCCCCCCCCCCCTCCAACATCCACACGCTACAACACACACCAACACACATATCTCAACACACACACACTCACCCCAGCACACACACTTCAACACCCCCCCCACACACACACATCAACATGCACATGCTCCAATACATGCCAACATACACACACACTCACACCAACACACACTCCACCATCCCCACAACACACCCACCTCGCCACAGCACATACACATGAGCACACACCCCAACCTACACATCCACACGCACCAACATACACACACACTCACCCCAACACACACACTTCAACACCCCCCGCACACCCCAACATCCACACAACACACACATCAACATTCACACGCTCCAACACATGCCAACATACACACACACACACACACACTCACACCAACACACACTCCACCATCCCCACAACACACCCACCTCGCCACAGCACATACACATGAGCACACACCCCAACCTACACATCCACACGCACCAACATACACACACACTCACCCCAACACACACACTTCAACACCCCCCGCACACCCCAACATCCACACAACACACACATCAACATTCACACGCTCCAACACATGCCAACATACACACACACACACACACACTCACACCAACACACACTCCACCATCCCCACAACACACCCACCTCGCCACAGCACATACACATGAGCACACACCCCAACCTACACATCCACACGCACCAACATACACACACACTCACCCCAACACACACACTTCAACACCCCCCGCACACCCCAACATCCACACAACACACACATCAACATTCACACGCTCCAACACATGCCAACATACACACACACACACACACACTCACACCAACACACACTCCACCATCCCCACAACACACCCACCTCGCCACAGCACATACACATGAGCACACACCCCAACCTACACATCCACACGCACCAACATACACACACACTCACCCCAACACACACACTTCAACACCCCCCGCACACCCCAACATCCACACAACACACACATCAACATTCACACGCTCCAACACATGCCAACATACACACACACACACACACACTCACACCAACACACACTCCACCATCCCCACAACACACCCACCTCGCCACAGCACATACACATGAGCACACACCCCAACCTACACATCCACACGCACCAACATACACACGCCACTTGGGGCACGAGGCGCTGTCCATGCCCAAAGCGGGAGGAGAACTGGCAATCGGATTGGACAAAAGGAGGGAGGGGGAGGGGCAGGGTTGGCACCGAGTCCCGGAGAGACCCCAGCTGTCCCAGGCTGTAACCCAGAGCCTCAGGGGGCCTCACCCGCAGCACAGGGGCTGGGGCAGTTTCCCCTGGGCCAGCAGGGCCTTGCCCGGCCTGCAATGGGCTTTGCTGGTCCTTGGCTGAAGGAAGGGATCCCCTTCAGCACCTCTCGAGACTCCCTTCTCACCAGACAGGGCTACGCAACACGCCCACGATGAGGTCTGGGCTTACACGGGGCTCAACACACGGCCTCCTGGGAACACGCTCCAAAGCGGCGAGGCGTCCCCCAGGCGAGGCGAGCACTGAAAGAGGCAAGCGGACAGGCTGGCTGGAACAGACGGGTGTGGGGTGTCGGCGTTTCTAGCCCCCAGGGAGGAGGTGCTGGGAGCACCGGGGCATTGTGGGAAGTGCTTTGTATTCATGCCTGACAGTGTGAAAGAAGCTATTTGCATATATTTGCATATATATTTGCATGAATATGCAACCACACTTAAGTTGCGGCCCTCGGCATGTGCTCTGAGTGTCATTGTGGCCCCTGGGGCTTCCAAAGTTGAGCAGCCCTGCAGTAGAGGGTGGCGTTGAGGCCGCTGTTGGTGTGGGCCAGGCCCCTGGTGATGGGGAAGAGTGCGGCTGGGTGTAGGAGAGGGCTTGGGGAAGGGCACCAGGCTGAACTTGATGACGATGCTCCAGGCTGTCAGGGCTTGGCTGGGGAGCCAGCAGACGAAGAAGCAGAGCACCAAGATGGTGACTGACCTGGTGACCCTGGACCTCCTCCGGGGGTGGTGGCAGCTCAGCCTCATCCTGCCCAGGATCCAGAGGAGGAGGAAGCAGCAAGCCGAGATGATGGCCAGGCTGAGGACAAAGCCCAGCAGGAACTGGGGGTCAAGGTCTCCCAGCTCTGGGAACTTGAGCAGGCAGAGCTCCTGCCTGGAGACAGCGGCGGAGAAGACAGCATGTGGCAAGGTGGCTACAGCAGCAGAGAGCCAGAGGGTGGCACCCACTGCCTTAGCCCTGCCCCTGGAGGAGGAGCCCTGGGGGCCTTCGGGGAGGACACCCCGGAGCTGAAGTGGGCCATGCTGCAAAGCCCCTGCCTGGAGACAGCGGCGGAGAAGACAGCTTGTGGCAAGGTGGCTACAGCAGCAGAGAGCCAGAGGGTGGCACCCACTGCCTTAGCCCTGCCCCTGGAGGAGGAGCCCTGGGGGCCTTCGGGGAGGACACCCCGGAGCTGAAGTGGGCCATGCTCATGGCTGCGGGGAAGAAGGCGCTGGCGTACATGCTCATGGCCGAGGCCAAGGGGATCAGCTTGCACACGGCCTTGCCAAAGGGCCAGCTGACGTCCAGTGCCCCAAAAGGCAAGGTAAGAACGAACTGGAAGTCTGTCACTGCCAGGTTGAGCTCAAAGAAAGTCACATCGCTGGACCATCTCCGGTGGGCTCCGGTGCCCAAGAGGCAGAGCAGCAGCAGGTTCCCCGCCACCCCCAGTGGCTGCCAATATTGACTGGGTGGTGCCCATGAAATACAAACTGGCAGTTTCCATTGTCGCCAGCCCAGCTGCTGCAGCTCCACTGTCCCGCTCAGCAGAGGTGACACGGAACGGAGCAATTGAAAGGGTCTTTTTGGGAGATCACATCTGCAAATGGGATCCTGGGGGGTTCCAGGTGTCCTGGGAGTCGGTAGAGCTGAACAGCCAGAGAATGGCCTGCCGAAAGCGGCTCTGGTCTCAAAGCAAGCTTCGATTTCCATGAATTCGACTGTGCTGCGTTTGCGTTGGGCTTTAGTCTGCAGGAGACAGGTTTCCAAAGGAGGGTTCCACAGAGGATGGAGAGAGGCTGTTCTCAGTGGGGACAGATGGCAGGACAAGGAGCAATGGTCTCAAGTTGCAGAGCGGGAGGTCTAGGTTGGATATTAGGAAAAACTATTTCCCTAGGAGGGTGGGGAAGCTCTGGGATGGGTTCCCTAGGGAGGGGGTGGAATCTCCCTCCAGCCCTAGAGGTTTTTAAGTCCCGGCTTGACAAAGCCCAGGCTGGGTTGATTTAGTTGGGGTTGGTCCTGCTTTGGGCAGGGGGTTGGACTTGATGACTCCTGAGGGCTCTTCCAGCCCTGGGATTCTAAGCTTCTACGTCTTTCTCCACAACTGAGCCATGGAGGTCAGTGCCACTGACTTGCGGGCGACTTTGGGCATGTCCCAGCCCACTCCATGCCTCAGTTTCCCCCTCTGTAAAAGGGGGCTGACACCCCAACCTCCTTGGTAAAGAGCTTTGAGCTCTGCAGAGGAAAAGTGCTGCGTGTCATGTGTCAGATTGCAATTGGCCCTGCCGGCCGGTGGTCAGTGCTGAAAAGCCACCTGCTCAGGGAGCAGAAGTCAGCTGTGACCTAAACAAGCAGCCACTGCAGAGCACAAAGGCTGAAATTCTGCTTGTGCGGGAGGCCAGGCCCTACTTAAATCCAATGTGGGTCTTCACATGAGGGCAGCAGAGGGGCTGCTATGACACAGGCCATAAGCTCCCCTCTGCGGGGGGCTGCCGGGGAATGCTGGCAGGGCTGTGATGGGTTTGGGTCCAGCAGTAAGTCAGGGGGGGAGGTTCTGTTCTTGGATTCCATGAATTGACACAGGGACATGGATACAGATGGGGGATCAAACCCCCAGCCCTGCTCTGCACGAGGGGACTTGGGCACAGAGCTGAGCGCTGATCTGTGGAGTAACCTCAGGTACGTGGCTTCCCCTCCCATCCTGAGTCCTGAGAGCTCCTTTGCAGTCCGGCAGGGAACAGGGAAGTCTAGGCCACCAGGGTCCTGTCAGGGAACTGCTAGCAGAGCAAAGAGACGGGTTCTCAGCTCCCAGCAGCCCCTCGTAGCCAGTGCAAGGGACACACAGCATGGACCCCAGGTGGGGTGTGTAGACCGGCACCGCTGCATGCAGTGGCTGCAAGACAACCTAGTATAGGTCAGCCTAGGGTTGTGTTGCATAGAGTCACCGGCTTTCCCTTCCAAGGTGGCTCATCTTCCCCCCTCCCCCCGCCTTGTCCCCCCACTCCTCTGTCCCTGCTGGGTCACACACAGACAGCTTGCTCCCTGTGACCGGCATACAAATGACCCCCCCCCCTCCTACACCCCCCCCCG